TCTTTTTTAGCACCTAATCTATGTGAAATTTCAATATCTTGTTCTAGTAAATCACTTAATCCTACAGTTTGTGCTAATGTTACTATTGCCTTCGTTGGTTCTTCATTTTCAGGGATCCCGATAATGCACAAGTTAAATTGCCTCGAATGACGCTCACGCTTATTCATATCATTTCTCATGACAACTTGATTTTGTTCAATGATAGCTATGCGTGCTTCGATTGATAATAAACATTTTTCAGGGCGATACAACCTTAAAAAAGTCACTTTTATGATGGAGGTCGGTTTTTTAGATCTTCACAGTTTTTCGCATTTTTCTCCATGAAGAAAGAGCTTCTAAAAGCTGCGAAGATGATATTTGAGGTCACCTCGATGCAGCGAATCAGAATATGTATAATAACGTTAGAGAAAGGCTTTACTGCAATTTTCAATTTGCTGCATCTTACATGAAATGTTACGAACAATCGTGGGCCTCAATTTGGGAGATCGTATGTCAAATCGAAGAATAATGTAGCTCTCAGGCCAACTTCCAATTGAGAACATAATGCGACGAAACGGCTTGGGATGGTTTAACCATGTCAATCGCATGAAGAATGCATGTGCTATTGACCAGGTGCGTCCGTAAGCTTTGTTAGTGTCTGAATTTAAAGATCGTTTCTTTTTCCTAGGATCCATTTTTCCGTATGACACGGGATGTGGCCTCTCGGCTGAACTTTCCGAAATGTGCGCTATTACACTCAATCTTCTTTCCCGCGTTACAAGGTGCACAGTCGAAAATGAGTGCATCCGATGCAACATCATCCATATTTTTGACTGATACGCCGAAAGAAATTAAAGACAAAGTGAGTCAATAATTTCTGTCACCTCAACACTTTAGAACGACCCTGTGCAAATCCTCCTAGGTTAATAAACATGCATACAGTGGAGGCGGTAAAACCGTTGAAGAACACCGTGAATACGGAGGAAACTGTGATACGGATGTTGCTTATCAATATTTAAAGTTTTTTTTGGATGATGATGAGAAGCTTGAACAGCTCAGAAAAGTAAGTGCTTCGAAACTATTAGCTATCCTCTACGTGTTTTTACTCTGAAGGGCTATTCAAATGGGAAAATATTGACCGGAGAACTAAAACAAGCGTTAATCGATGTCTTACAGAAATTAATCCATGATCATCAAGAACAACGGAAGAAGATAACAGATCAAGATGTCTTAGATTACATGACACCTAGACCGCTGAAGTTCCGTTTCTAACGCTTCAAATTTAAAGGCTTTTCAACCAAGACGTGTGGATGATACCGCTCTGTTTGTTTATAAACATTTTAAAATAAACGAAGTACCTTTACGCTATAGTTTGATCTCCACCATTTCATTTTATGCCAAACCAAAAGCAAAAGTTTTTATTTGCAAATAGTGTATCCGAAACCTTTTAGTATGCACTTCTAATAAGCAGCACAGATTCTGTAAGGTCACTTAGCATTTATAATCGTAAGGTTTTCCTTTGACCATTTCTTTCATGCCTAGATATGGGAGGTAAAGCGTCACTCATTCCTTCTATAATTTCAGCTTTATGCATCCTTTATCAGATAGAAAGGACCATGGAAACCATATCTCTCTCTTATGACAAGCCGTGAGCGATAACGCTTTTTTGAGACTCTGTAAAAAGTCATTCGAATTTGTTCTATAGTTTATGACTCATAAAAATACAGTCTGCATTACGCTGACGTGAAAGAAGACAGATGATTCACAAATCTTTTACAGAACATACTTTCAAAATTTGAATTTTATATATACAATGCCTAATTTTTGCATATATACAACAAGCTCGCGGTCGTGATTTTTTTACTGCTCCGGAGAAAAACGGGTTTTCACCAGGATGCTAGTCAAGGACTTTTTATTTAAAGGTATCTGACCAGACAAACTCGACATCGTTAGGATAAGCAAAGAAAACTTTGTACTTTGTACACGTCATATAGAAAACTTTGTGTACGTCAAATTTTTTCATTCTGTTTCACAAGAAGGAAGAGAAGTAAAGAATGAAAAATATTGCTTTTTACTTAAAGTGGCCAAGAATGTTTAAATTCATTATGTTGTGAAGAAAAATAACCATTTGGTTGTCATACGTATTTTATTTATGCAAAAAACCAACATATTGTTCGATAGTGTTAAACACTCGTCTATCATAATGACTCGTGAGTGAATGAGCTTCAACATGTCCAACTTTCTAACGCACTTTTTAAAAAAAACTTCAATGATTGTTCAAACGAAACAAATCGCTGATGCAAGTTCTTTTGTACAATTCAGAGTGCTCTTTCTCGTGGTGTAGGGTGAACTGAGTTTCAACCAAGTACTACGTACGACTTATGAACTATATAATTTTCACAAGCTGGGCAAACGAGCAGAATTCAGCGTATGCTGCTCATAATATTGGAGAAAAAGAAGTTTTCAAAGTTCAGGAATCTGGGCTGCGATATGCCATTGATTCCTCTTTAATATAACATTAAAATAAGCTAAAAATACTACCTTTGATTGACATAGGCAAATTTTCTGAATGCCCCGAAACTGCTGTTTCAAAAACGCGATTTTTGCAAGGTGTCACAGAAACATTTATCATGTGTTGCATGTGTTGCAACAAGAATTGCTTTTCACTGTCGCTGTTCGTCATTAATCTATCTTTAAAAGTTGTATCTTCATTCACTTGTTTATGTGTCATATTGATTATTCTAGTCTCTTCTACAACAGTAGCCAGAGGCCATGCCCGTCCTTAAAAATCACGACACATTTAGTTTTCTGAAGATTCAAAAGAATGTAACTTACTTTGATCGCGTACTGTGATTTTGTCGAGAAAAATTACAGACGCTTTACGATTGCTAGAAATGTTCAAACGGTTCAAATCGACTTTGACGATGCGGAAAGCAACAAAAGGTACTATGAGTACTTCATTTTCATCTTGAACAGCACTTAACTTACTGATAGCAAGACCAGCATGACGCTGGATTATTCTGTAGACACATAAGACTGGTCGAAGAATTGGATTGTCGAACTGAAGATAGAGAAAAGCCGCGTCAATACGTTTTGATGTTGAAAGAAACGAACGAGTGAGAATTCGAGCATCAGGAACATATTGAGCAAGTTCGGTATTACTCAGATTCGTACCACGATTAGTTGTACCAGTATGACGAAAATATTCAATTGATGGATGATTCATGATAACAGCAGCGAACAAATAGTGACCGAATCCAGTTGGAGGCTCATCATCTCGATACTTTTTTGATATATTACTTTCAATTCGAAAATCGGAACCCCTGAATAGTAGAGCTTGTTATGCGTACAGTAATTTATCTGAAAATGAAGAATCTACGAAACTTGGTATGCATTAACTCTATATTAAAGAGAAATTGGCGGACTTAAAACGTCTTGAGGAAGAAACCATAAATTATCTCAGGATATCCAGTGAGAATCGAGTTGTATCGAAAGAAGGAGCCATAAGTATAACTTCTCTTCTTGAAGCAAGTCGAACAACAACAAATGATTATCATGCATTGGAACGCGTATTATCACGATGTGAGTTTGTCACAGCGTATGCAATTTAGTTTCGCTGCATTTCCAGGTCGCTATGGTTATACCTCACTTTCTGATAACCAGATGAGATCATTTCGTACGAGTATAAACATTAGTGGGACTGGTACTCAGTGTCTTCGATATTATTATCATTTTACGAATTCAAATGGACTCAACGAATAGTGAACATAATTAGCAAATATTAAATATTCATATATGACGCAATACTTAAAAGAACAATTGTAATCGTATAACTTAAATTCATCGATAGGAAAATATATGGTTCCAGTAGTACTTTCATTTCGGACATTAAAATGGAAATAAATCTAAAAAAGGAAAGTTTAATAACTCACATCAATAACACCATATAGTATCCTTACGGTATAATTAGTTGTTCTCAAACTAAATGTTATATTTCTAGAATACCATCGATTACTTTTGATATCAGTAAATGTTACTTCATCAATTGTTTTATTATTCATTGTCACATCACTCGGTTGAACAATAACTTCAATACGTTGTCCATAAGCCTTATCATTTGTAAAACAATAATAATATTGTAGACATTGTTCATCGTTATCATCTCGAGTAAGTAGAACGATCAAGTTTTGTATATGTAAGTTTACTTATTTCATTTGCTTCCATCGGTACAACACCAAATGATCCTTAAAATAACTTTTTATTCATCAGTTCGCTAGTTGATATATTGAATAATATTAGCATACCCATTTGACATGTTCCATTGTTTCCAGTTGTTGTTTTACACTGATTATCATAACAAAAATACATGTCAATCGTCTTAGTACCGATTGTTAAATTGTATGGTAAATGACATGTGGCATTAACTGATGTATCGGTTGCTTTATGGATAAACATAGAAATATAAGAATAAATATTGCTCGTGATGAAAAGTGAGACTTCTTACTTATTGATGCTACATCCGATGTTGGTGCGCGTATTGAATTATTATTGACAGCGAATATTGCACCATTAGTAAATATGATATCTGCAGATTCTGTAAAACATTGATGATCATCATCGTCAAAATCACAATGTATTAACGGATTAATCAAAAGTTTGACTGTAGTAGTAGTTGATGCCAATGTCGATGATAGTATGACGGAAGTATAAACTGTCGTCTAGAATAAGATAACAACCAAAGCAGAAATCTCTATCTTGTTCGAATGCAATTATCTCTCATTTTGCTTAACGTGAGTTAACCATTCTGGGTCACTTCCGCCCAGTCAAGTTAGAAAGCTTTATTTTGTGTAAACGTATGATGTCTCAGTGACTAGCCGCATAATCGAATATCTTCAAAAAACGATCAGTTGACGAGGATACATCTTACATATCGCTATAATTCTGCCAGAAGCAAAATGAAGCCATTTTGCTGTATTCATGTGGTGTTCTACTATACCTGCCCTTGTTTAGACTCGGTATACTTTCGCTTCTTAGTTATAGAACAGCTCAAGTCTAGGACTCTTAGATCAGCTTTTACTACGCTCTACAGCCTTGGGACTATCTTTCGATGTCTTTTCTCTCAGCCCTTGAACGTCATCTAAATGTCCTGGTGATCCGACTTTGGAAGGAAAGCAGTCGTGATGACTGAGAGCGTAGTAGAGGAGATATGAGAAACTATGGAAATATGGAAACAAAATAACTATTACTATTACTTTATGCCTGGTACATCTGGTCATAAAATCGAAGTTCGTTTCCAAGCAGGCATAAATAAATAATCCTAAATTTTTGGTCAGATGCTACCCTTATTAATTATCTAAATATTTGGGTACTCACAACGGAACCATTGTCCGCTAAAATATGAGCGAATAATATTAGTAGCGATGCCACACAATGGCAGGACCCCATCAGATCGAGGATAATAACCTGTTAGTTTAATGCGTCTATTGGATATATGTTCGAGGAACCTAGGCAATCACTATAAAACCGAAGTATACAAATGTTGTTTCATAAAGCTATTATAATGTTTAGTTTAGATCATCTAGATATTGCAAATATTTTATCTGTCTTACAAACTGTTGAGTTAAGCTTATATTCATTACCACTGGCTGAGTGGATGATGTTGCTGCTGTAATTATATGTGTTGCTGTGACCTTAGTCGATGTACTGCTGGTAGCCTTTTCTGTGGTAGTGACGATCGCTGTTGATGAAATTACGCTAGAAATAATATGTCAATATTCAAAAATTGCTCTTAAGTATCAGAGAATTATGCGTACATGGTCTCGGACACTTTTGTTGTAGTTGATGGTAACGTCTGGATAAGTGGCGTACTTACCGCATCTAATTCAAAAAACTGTACTATTACCTTAAATCTATCATAGGCCACTAGCTATTTTCTAA